TGTACAGGCAGAAAAGAGCAAGTAAATAGGTATGTGCAATGGACACGTCTGGTTTATGAATTCCTGCAAACATTAAAATACCAGGGCTTTTTAAGTCTTCCCTTACCAAGAAAATATTACTGTTTTCATGAGTATATCTGGCTTCTTAACATTTCATGAGAATCCAGACCTACGTTGAACTGCTTTGAACTGCTGAATTACCCCAAATCTTACTTTCTAGGTTTGACATAAGAGACTCGCTCGCTAGAAAGTGCATGGATATGCAAAGGCTGCTGTGTGAAAGATCTTCGGCAGAGCTTGCCAGTATGAAGAACACTTTGTTCTATAGTAGTGGACTTGAATACTAATGTATTAAAACATTTTCCAAGATTAAAGTTAGTCTTGTATTTAATTGTGCAAGCTAACAACTTGGATGTCATCTTCTGAGGAAGAAACAACTGATTTTGTTCTCGGAAGTGCCTGTTTACCTCTCTCTTTGGCCAGGTTTGCCTGTTTTGTGATGAGATGGCTTACCAAAAAATGGAATAAGCAACATGAAAAATATGACTAGCCTGGTTTGGCTCTGATCCTTTCTGAAGCCAAGAATCTTCTCAAATTCAGATCTTTTTGCAAGGCAGTTCAGATTTTGTTTTACTGCATTTTATTGATGGGCTAATCTTCTGATCTACTTCTGGAGTCTGCATAAAGCAGTTTTCTCTCTTCCATATGCCAATTATAAGAAGAATCTCTACCTGTGTGCTTATTTTGTGTAGGATTCTAGACTTTAAGTGTAGGATGAATAACTGAGCTCATCCGAATCTGAGAACACTATAACTCTTCCTTGAAAATCTCAGCTGCTAAGGTTTTTCATTGTAATGAACAAGTAGTACATATTTGAAGTGTACTTTTTGTTTTTACACAAATTTGCAGCTCTTCTCCAATAAATTCTTGAATAATTTCTTTCCTTCTCAAACAAGTTTAAGCCGTGAGCAGGTGCAATTCATGTATCTGCAGAAAATACTGAAGAGAACACTTAGAAGTCAAATATTCAGAAGTCATCTGGAAGTGGATCATCAGTTCTGTAAGACCATCAGTTTAGACAGTCATTTCTGTTTCCATTAAATATTTGCTTTGCAGAAGTTCTTTTATTGAAAAATCCCAAGAAATAAAACAAAAAGCTTGTACTTTTAAGGGACTATTCCAGAACTTACTGAAAGAGAAGACTGGAATAACCTACTGTGCTTCAACAAAAAAGCATTACCCAACTGCTTGGTGAAGCAGCTCTGAAGACATGACAGATTTAGCAATGTTACCACAAATACACATTCAAGGTCTGATCATTCATCTTTTCCCGACTTGCATATCAATAAGGGATCTCTGACTGGATTACTGCAAGTGACAGAATTTCGTATTGCACTTTTTAGTGTACTCATTCTCCATCATTACCTTTCTAAAACTAGTCAGAAGTCTTCACTTGAATGTTACACTACCAAAACGTACTTCACTGAAGTTCTCTTTAAAGAGCTGATCTTGAGCTAACGCATGTTTTGCTTACTAGCAGTGAGTGCTGTCTTGCTGATGTTTTCATCCTGCACCATGCTTCGTGTAGAGCAAAGAGCTTGTGGTACGCCACTAATAGCACCCCACAGCAATGTGGCAGCATCTCAAGTTCCTAACTGACAAATATGCAAGAAAACATGCTCTTCAGTTATCAACTTGCCTGTGCCTGCTGTTTAAAGAACAAAATGATACTCTTTCTCCATTAAAAACCCTGCTGGTTGAAAGGGAATATCTTCATTTTCATTCTATAGCAACAAACTTTTCCTTGCTTGTAACAACCAGTTTTAGTTTGAATGCAAGGTGTGGTTGTTTTTTTTTTCTTTACTGTATGGGTCTTTGAAACCATGAGAAACAAAATCATGTCACAGTATATTTTTCTGATCACTTAGTTTTAGTTGCCTTGAAGCACATAATCACTAAATAAAACCAGGACGGCAGGTATAGAAAAATATAATGGTAGTTCTATTTTTCCACAACCGTCATGTGTGTCTTTACCTTTACATTACAAGAAGTTGAAGCATGAAGGCTATAAATACAAATAAGTTTCTCTGGTTATCACACTTGATTAAAGACAGCTGATAGCCCAGATGTTTCTCATAGGCTTTACTTGGAGATGTTTAAAATCCTTAAATGTTTTGAACCACAGGCTACTTGAAAGATCATCAGTTACAGTATGTGGCAGTGTATGCTCACCTGTTAAGTTCCTATTTGGGTGTGTTCTTCACTGCCCCTCTTTCTTTCCTGTGCCTAATTAGCAGTTACACAGTGTAAAACTTTATCCTTTTGAAAAGGAGATCAGTCCCAATCTGGTTTAGAATGACACTTGAACCCATATTGTTGGCCTCTGATTTATTTCTCAGACCCACTCAAGAAGGTTTAGCTTTTCTTTTAGTTTCAGTGATGAAGCTGCCAGTGTTGCTGCTCATGCCTTTTATTTCCCTGGAAACTTCCAGTTCACCTCTTCTTTCCCATTTATATTTTGGAAGGATTCTTGATTATCTGTTACACTATTTGCAGAAAGGCACAAGGCAAAGTGAAGTTTCACGCTAGATTGAAATCCACACTCAGAGCCAGATCAGCATTCTGCACTGCTCTGATTTAACCAGAGTTTGTTGGGCATAGTACCGTTTGGGGTGCGCTTGCTAAATACCTACTTACCCAATCTGGGAGAATTGTTGGTATCCAGATTGGAAAATGGTACTGTCCTTTCTGAGCTCAATTCAATTTAGAGTATAATGCTGCCTTGAGAATAAAGGTGAACACTGGGAAAATCTTAATCTGCTACCCTGGATGACTGTAGTATGGTCTGTCTTTCTTGTGCCAAACTTTAATTTTGGACGAGCTATCAGCAGAGCAGTACTGGTGCTGAGATTCCAGTGTTGCTCTCAAGTGGGTTACCATTTGCCACTTTTATCTTGTTTTACCAAGAGATGACCTTATGCTCCTTTTGCAAAAGGAATTTCCTTTTATTTTGACCTGCTTTTGCAGGCAGCTCTGATTTGAAAATTTTAAATACTTTTACATGTGAAACATTTGTTATGCAGATACATTGCCTTGTTTAAAGTTTACTAGCTTCTTTTCTGTTATTTTAGTTCCAGGCTCTCTTCCATGAAGACTGCAAGCTTCAGTGAACATTTTAACTAACTTCAGTGGTGTGTCTACTGTCTTTTGGTTGTTTTTTGCCATTAATCTTGTAGAGCAATTTGCTAGTTTCTGTTCCGTGCAAATTGGCAGTAGTGCTAAGCTAGTAACAATTAGATGCTTATGTTATTGGATAACTGACATTTCTTTTTAGTGTAAGTAAACATGTTAGCATTGTTAATCTTTTAATATCTGCAATAAATGTAGAACTAAACAATTTCTGGTTTAAATGTTTTGCTTGTGAATTTGGCCATTTGTAAGAGATATGCATCATTTTGGCACTAACAAGTGGAATTGAGATTATGCAGTGTTATATTAGTGTAAAGCAGGATTTTATAGTGTATGAGGGAAGGAAGGTCCCTCTGTTTCTGTGCTGCTAAATGTCTCTGTTGAGAATACCCACTAAATCATTTCTTAGTTACTTTTTCATGTGGCTTCTAGTGCATTAAATCCATGCACAACAGTCTTACTTTCCACATGAACACCAAAACCGTTGTGCCCCAGTCAGAATGCAAGAGTTTTAACCTTTATTCATATATCCCAGGAATTAGTTGTCTCTCTGATTTTCTTGGTGTACGGACTTTAAAACAGCAAAACTTTCTCTTTACATATGTGTGTGGTTTATTGTTGCCTTTAAATTCAAATTCCTTTTTTAGACAGGATATGAGGGGGAAAATTGCAACGAACTGAAATTTAACACTTGTGCAGCCGCCTTCTATCCAGAGGTAAACGAGAGTGTTCATTTGCGAAAGACACCAGCCAGGTCTCCTGTCCCCTGCTTTTATACTGACAGCTAGGAAAAGCTTTATGGAGGGAAGTTCAAGCCCTGGCTACACCTTTTTCCTCCTTTTCCTTCAAAAATGTATTACATGTAAGGACCTGGTTCTAGAAGAAGGGACATTTGCTCTCGTTGGAGAGAAATGAGGAGATCCCCATTTTGGGGGAAGTGCCCTGACAGAGTAAGAGAACTACAGTCAATAATACACTGTTTGGAGTAATTGTGTGGGACTAGTAGAGATGTTTTCTTTTTTTTGCCTTCAAAGCTTTTCTTTGGTGTGATACCAGTGACATTTTTCCTATTTATTTTTTGGGGGTTTTTTAGACACTACAGCATCCTTAGTGTGAACACTTAATCTGTGCCGAGATGTTATTTCTCAAAATCAATGTACAGTATTTTTTTCTATTGATATTCCATTCTGCTTTGAAGTTATTCCTGATGTATTGTGCCCAAAGGAAGTCTGGACTCAGAAATTCAAATACTGTTATTTTGGATTGTTTTCTATCCTACAAGCAGGTATATTTTCTAATTAAAAATGAATTCCTGAAAGTCCTGTATCATCTTTAATTCTGCATATCTCATGACTGAGTGGCCAATCACAACCAGACTGTAGATTTGAGCAATAATAAACACCTTAAATGAGAATATGCTCAAAGAACAATAGGGTACTTCTGAAATAAATAGTTTTTTGTGAACCTTGTTAAGTAGGTAACTTGCTGAATTGCAGCAAGTGTGGAAAATGTTTGCGTTATCTGTGGGCAATAAAGTTACTGCTGTTTAAGAAAGTGCTAGCACACAGTGTGTTCTCTTCAGCTTTTTGTGCCTAATTCATGTCATTATAAGGTTGTAATAATTTCCTTGAAAATTATTTCCTAGGCAAGACTTTGCTTTGAAGGGGAAGTCATATTTTGTTATCCTGCCACTAGGTAATAAAGCAATAGTAAAGCAGCACATACAAAGCAATAAAATCTAATTTTTAAAACAGCTGCCTCTTTGGCAGACGTTCATTATGGACTCTTTGATTTGCAAGGTTAACAAAAGTTCTATCTTTGAACAGTTTACAAGACCTATTTCAGAAACCGGAACTATTTTTGGATGGGAAATAAGAATTCTGAAAGCCAATCTAAAATGAGAGGTCATTGAGAGGTCACAGAACACAAAAATGAAAAGAGAATCTGGAAGTTCTGGCTTTATTTGATGCCTTATCAGTTACCGCGTGTTATTTACTGATGTCAGTGGGAGGAAGGTTAGTAGAGGGAGTTCTGCCAAGTTCTCATTTGTTGTCCACACCGAGCACGGAAAACGCCGCGGTTTGTTTTACTGTTCAATCCTCGTAATTAAATGTAAGTCACTATGAGGATGCAGATCAGCTCTCATCCACATGCGTATGTAATGTATGAGTTTCCCCTAACTCACAAAACAAATCCCAAAGACGATCAGCTGTTTAGGGGCGTAATCTGACATTGAAATAAAAGCAAGCGTCTGTGCTGAGCAGCAGCAGTAGCTTGCGGCCCCTGGTCCCGCTCTGGCACTGCAGCGCGAAGCCCCCGTTGGGGCGGGCAGCGGCTGAGCCGGGCTTCGCTCCGATGTCCGCAGCGGCCCCGGACCCCGCTTTTCGCAGCACCCGTCTCCCGCTGCCGCCGGCACCGAGCGCTCCGTCCCGGGGGAAGGTGCGTGCGGCGCCGCCGGGCCCGGCGGGGGGAAGCGGCGGCTGCGCCCCCCGATCCCGGGTTCGCTGAGGGGCGGCCCCGCGTGTCGGCGGCGGGCGGTGCCAAGTGGCCGAGGGGCGCCAACGGCCGCTCTGCGGGCGCAGCGCGCTGAGGGAGGCGGCGCCATCTTGGGGGTGTGCGGGCTGAGGGGACCGGGGCTGGTGTCCGGCTTGAGGGTCAGCGGCATCAGCTGCTGGGGCTCTGCGGGGTGTGCGGAGGGGTGTGCGCTGAGGGGTGAGGAGGTTTAGGGGAGCGAGGCTGGGTTGGGGTGTAGCCTGGGGACACGAGCACTCACCTTCTGTCCCTCACGCCTGACGCCTGGGTCACCTCAGCTCTGCTGCACCACGCGTGCTGTCCAGAAATGCCCATCAGAGGATGAGTCGAAGCGAAACATGCTGTGGGAATCCAGGGTCACAATTAAGGTCTGTCCACTGAAACAAAGATGTGATGGGGCAGGATGGCTGCAAACCCCTGGTGTCCGTTATTGCCAGGACCAGGGGTCACAGGTGCTGTGAACAGAGCTGGTCACAGGAAAGTATAAAGCAAGGCAGTGGAAGAAATTTGTTCTCAAATACTATGCATCCTATGAGATAGGTACTGTCTGCCAATGAAATGTCTTGGCACATGGGCAACATCTGTCTGTGCAGACTCGTGCCCTGGGTTACAGTACAGGGGTTCACCGGAGTTACTTTTTCTGAAGTTTCCAACCTGATTTACTAATTTAAACGTATTCAAACCCAAACAATATTTTACTTTGCTTGTGCTAATGCAAACAGTTTCCTTAGCAGTTGGCATTTGCTTACAGATGAAAGTGCAGAAAGAGCAGAGATTCCCTTCTTTATGAAGGCAGATTTGGAACCTGGCTATGTACTTTTTGTTATTGTAGATGACAACTACCTAGCTTTCATTTTGCTCAATTTTCTAGCATTGGCTGAAGGGCATACTCATTTAGATGGACTGACAAAATGCCAGGTATAAGAGTACCCAATTCTAATTAGCTTAATAAAATACAAATTGTTTTTTCATAACATACGGTGGATTTTATATGTATATGTATTATTTTTATGTAACATGAAACCTGGTAAATTACTGTAAATAAAGCAGGTCTAGCAGTGATTTTTCTTAAATACTTAAAATAGCTGACTGCTGCAAAACGTTCCCACTTGTTCTTACTGTTTTTGAAATAATACTTAGATACCATGCAGAAAATCTGAAACATTGCAGCTTGCAAATGAGAATCACGGACTTGGCGCAAAGCTTGTTTTGCTGGAATTGCCATCAGAGTAGTGTCTACTTCTAATTAGTATAAATATAGGTAATAGCTAGAAAATCTTGTAGCAGGGCGTGGCTGTCCATCTCATAAAAATGAAAGTAACCAAATAGTGCAGTGAACTTAAACTGCTTTTAATTTTAGGATGTCTGGAAGTACTTACCTGAATGGAAAATGTGAGAGGTTCTGTTAAGTTTCAGAAAATATCTGAAGACTACAGATACTTACTTTGGAGGGCTTCTGCGGGACATTTTCAAGAACCATGAAGAAATGGCTACCTGCAATTATTTAATGACCCGGAATGAAAACTGGGAAGAACTTGCTTCTAGTTGAATCTCTGAAAATGGGTAGCACTGCTGTTGTTGTTTATCTTGTTTTGCAATTAGTACAAGAGACAAAAGCATCTGTTGTGAACTGCATTCCCAGAAAAACAATAAAATACCAAAGTAAGTGAAAAAAATGTAATTTCACAAGCAGAAGGAAACAGCACAATGTTGGGAGTTTATTTTTTATTAGGCATAAAAAATTGTTATGGACTGTTTCACCGCAAGTGTTGCAGATGCCCTCATCCAAATGACAGTGAGGAATGTCTCAACAATAATTGTTGTAGCTGGAGGTTCTGGCTTATATGTAATAATAATAGTGTTGTTTATTTTCCTGTAATTGGGAAAAGAATAGCCATGCACTCATATACTTTCATGTTATTTAGAAAATGTTCTGGAAAGGTGTACAAGCTTTTACCTCTGTTCTGTTACAATTTGTTCTCAATCTGGAATTTGTATTACATAACACTGTGATTCTAGTGATAAGTATTTTTAAAATAACTTATCTTCTGTGTTTTGCAGCTGGAAGTATAAACACTTTTATGAAAGAAGGATTATCCAGTGTTTCCACACTCCTTGTGAATGAAGAAACCAATACCTTATTTGTTGGAGGCAGAGATGCAGTATTTGCTCTTGACTTGAATAATATTTCTAGAGAAATAGCCAGGGTGAATTAAAATCTTTTTTTTCCCCCTCTCTCCCCATACCTTCTTTAAAAAAAATGCTCTGCTTGTGATTTTCTTAATTTGGACATAATGTTCTGATTTTAAATGTGTAAAAGTATTACTATTTCAAGGCTTGAAACTCTTTCACAGATTTTTTTTTTTTTTTTTTTTAAGCAAAGCAATACCTCTCTTCAGGTTATTTATTGTGTGTTGTATGTTGCAGAGATACGTAGAAGAATACTTATTTATCCCAGTAGGTTCAAAGTTAGGATTATTTAGAGATTTTTTTTACACATAATTTTGTGAAAAAAAAAATACACCATACCACCTTACAAATATTTTTGGCTTTTAGGAATACTGGTTTGCTACAGAGGAAAGGCAGCTGGAATGTATTCGTAGAGGAAAGGACAAGGTAGTAGCTTCTGTTTGCCCCTCTAAGTTATTAACTAAAATTAAAATGGCTACAGGATCAAGAGTCTTTTTAATAAATGAAGTAAAGGCAAGTTCATTTAAATCTTTTGGGTTTGTTTGCTTGCTGCTGAGACGCCAGGAAGTTTTCAGATACAATCCACTACACTCTGTAATTTTTTTTTTTTATATTCTATTTTAGATAAGATGCCAGAACTACATTCTCTGCCTCCATAAGATAAATGACTCTAACTTATATGTTTGTGGAACCAACGCGTATCACCCAACTTGTGATCATATGGTAATTATGTTCGAATACAGGGTTTACTGAAGATATTTGAGTAGTACGGCAGATCTTTAAGCACCTTTCTCAAAATATTCCTGTTGAAAATTAGTAACTTTCCTAGTTCTTTTGTGAAGGTATGAAAGACCAGAAAATTATCAAATGTTATTTTTTTCATCCTATTTAAATGATTGTTTGCCATAGGTTATCCATGGGAGAAGCATACGCTTGCAAGGAAGAGCTGAAGAGAGCAGAGGAAGGTGTCCGTTTGAACCAGCTCTAAAGCATGCATCTGTTTTTGTAGGTACGTTTGGACTGACACGCAATCTGAAATTATTTTCCTCATCTAAACTAAATTATTGGATACAGTTACTCTAATTCTGTTTTTGCATTCAAGCCTAGTTTGTTCCTTATGATATGTCTTTGCATTTTAAAAATAAGTACTTTATACTTTCTTGTTTCTTCCAAATCTTTACAGATGGGGAATTTTATTCAGCTACTTCAAATAATTTCTTGGGAACAGAACCTATAATATTGCGCAGCATGAGAAACCCTGTAAGAACCGAGTTTAAAACATCCTGGCTAAACGGTAAGTTTTTAAATACATTTCAGTCTTTTAAACTTTATTTTGGTGTATGATTTTGTAGTGTGAGCTTTTGAACTAAGGACAGAATTTAAAAGAAATTAGTGATTATGGACTACAGTGATGAGGTGAGCCACAGCCCCTTTCTGTTTATGAAAGCACAGTTCCTTCTCCTAATGTTTAATAGATTCATAAATACTTTTCAGCCCTTTCCTTGTCTACTAATCCACAAAAAAATTCAGTTAGACTTAATTTTAAAATAATGTCTGCCATTTCTGTTTTTCTTTGAATAAACGTTAAATGTTTTGTGACTTTATGTGTTTCAGAACCAAGCTTTGTCAACATGGAAATAGTGCATGAAAGTGAATCTAATCCAAATGGAGATGATGATAAAATTTATGTGTTCTTCACTGAAACAGCTGTTGAATTTGAATTCTATGACAAGCTTCTGGTGTCCAGAATTGCCCGTATCTGCAGAGTTAGTATTTGTAACAAAGATTTCATTGAGTGTATTTCAGATGAAGTTTCATAGTCAAGTGATTCACAGTGGTACTTACACTGGCTAACCAAACAGAATTCTGTCATAAACATTTTATTTCTGGACTAGCTTCCTCTTTTTCCTGCTAGAAAAGAACCAGTTTTCCAGGTTGCATTTGAGATTGAAACCTTCTTTATTTGCCTTTGACCTGAGATTTTTATTGAAAAGCCAACTATACTTTTTCCTGAATCAATGCTATTAGATGAAAATGATGTCTTTTTCTTTATGCATTCTACAGTGTTGATGTTATTTCTTCATTTAGGGTGATCTTGGTGGAAAACGCATATTGCAGAGAAGATGGACATCATTTTTAAAGTCCCGCCTTTCCTGTTCCATTCCAGAATTAAACTTCCATTTCAATATTGTCCAGGACGTCTTTTTACTTAGGAGAAGAAAGTGGCAGGACAGCATATTTTATGGAATTTTTTCCCAACAATGGTGAGATAGGGGGCTACGAATGCTACTAAACTTTGTAATGCACTAGGTAAGGGTTCTCACTTCAGTATTAATAGCCTGAGTACAGTCTTTTGGCTTTAACTCAGAACAAGAAGCTACCAGCTGTTTATGCTGCATGTTTTAATGGACCACATTTGTTTTTCTTACAGCTTGGTCCAACTGAGCAAACATTATCATCTGAAACAAAATGGTTTTGGTTCCTGGGCCAAAGCCTTCAATTAAAGACTAACCAAAAGCCTCCCCTAAGCCAAGTTTTTAGAGTTATGTTTTCTCTAGTCGGATGGTGGGACGATTAAAACTAATTACATATAAAATTACATAATTATATACACAAAGCCCTGGATTCTTCTGGTCCTTATAGCACTAAAGGAAATACCTGATATTTCAAGGTGCAGAATTATTCTTCTGTTCCAAAAGAAGTGTCTGGCATGGCCTGATTGTCTGATGTAAAGCTCTGTGAAAATGAAAGCAGACTCCACAGGTTTTAGAGTTAACTAGATTTTTCTTAATGCTCTGACCAGTGAAGGAAACCAAGGCAAAGTGTATCAAAACTTTACATGTCAAAAAATACCAATGACAAAGTAGCCGTGAGTAGGTAATTCTCATGTTTTATAAAAAGTATCAGAATTGTGGGAATACAGCACAGTCAGCACTGTGCAGCTTAACCTGCTGCCACCTATTTGCCTGTCAGTTTATACCCACTGGAGCTTATGTGAGTTTTATTTCTGGTTATGGCAGGTTGGGTTCAATGTGTCCTAAGATAGGAATTTCTAGAACATTTATTCCTTTGGGTGTGGCAAAAAGACTTAAGCTTGGTATTCAGTGGTAGAACTGAAATCACATCAGTGCCTGATCCAGACACTCCTAAATGTCTACCTCAGTTTTCAGTCATCATTTTGAAAAGCATAATAATTGGAAGCAAAGAGGAAAAGTATTATGTTTTTCAGTACGATGAGTTAAAGGGATTAGAAGAAGAATTAATGGTCTGTGTCAGAAGTGTGGAGCCAAAGGGAGAAGAATCCTGTCAAAACATTGATTACCATAATACTTGGGCTCATGTGACTGTTCACAAGAAAGGTTGTCAAAAGGTCCTCATTCTCTTAAGTTGTTTAAATTTGAGGGTGGTTACATGGTTTTTAACAAATACATAATACCATCTTTTATGAATGTATTTGTTTTATTCTCTCCGTACTGAATCATGAAAACTGAAACAGAGAAGTATTTTTAGTATTAGGTATCTTTTGACTAATCCTGAAAAAAGTACAGCAGTGCTCACTGTGGAGATGGGTTATTTTACACTATTCCTTTCTATCTAAAAGCCAATAAAACGTGCTTTTATTTTGTGTGTTTTTTTTTTTTTTTCTTCTAAGGGGAAGATTAGACATATCAGCTGTTTGTGCATACAGTATGAAAAATATTCAGGAAGTCTTCTCCAAAGGAAGCTACAAAGGACCGGTAGCTGTAGAACATTCCCCTGTTAAGTGGATGGTGTATAGGGGAGAAGTGCCAGTTCCACGTCCTGGTGCTGTAAATATGAATTTACTCGTTCTAATTAAAGAACAGCCTCTGGATTATTTTTTTGATAGCAAATCATTAGCTCATGTTTTACCAGTATAAATGCAGTGTTTACAGTCAGCAAAGAGATACCTGCTTTCTCATTCCATCATACAAAGGTTCCTAGAAAAGCTGCCTTGCTTACAGCTCCGCTGCACAGGAGATGTGGGATTATTAGCTAGTTCATAAATGTGAGGAAAATAATTTTATCTTTTGAAGATAAATAGAAATAATCGTATGTTTAGAAAGAAATACACCTTTTTTATATACCTTGGTGAAATGTAAAAGTAATTGTAATCGTGTCCCTTACGTTTTGTTTTGTTTCTAGTGCATTGATAATTTTGCCCGGAGTATTGGATATAATACTTCTTCTGACTTGCCTGACAAAGTTTTGCAGTTTGTTAGAGATCACCCTCTAATGGATAATTCTGTAAATCCAATTGGTAATAGACCGGTGCTACTGAAGAGAGGTTCAAACTATACCAGGATTGTAGTAGACAGAGTCACTGGCCTAGATAAACAAACATATGATGTTATGTTTCTAGGAACAGGTAAGTGCTTTTATTTTAGGAAAAGATAGTATACATTTTTATGTATCTTGTTCCAGAATTTTTTTTCCGAGCCTTCAGAAGAGTAAAAGTATTCATCAGCTCTGAAGTTTTGCATTCAGAGGCTGTCTTGCTAGTTTAATATTTTCATCCCAGATAGATTAATTGTGTTTGGCTTGTTGGACATTAAAAGGCTCTCTTTAGAAACTTTCCATATCAAAGGAGACTTGACATAATAATATTTGCAAATTCAGGGGTTGTTTGAGGTCTTTTTTTCCCCTGAAAAAAAAAAAATCATTGCGTCTCTCATATTGAAAGAAAAAATAAGAAGTGCTTTGAAGAGTTTCAAAAATTCCCTATGCCCGGGAATGTCTTCTAAATCTCTATTTAAATTCAACATGAATTACCAGGCTAAAATGTTATGCTATGTTTAAACAAGCTTATCTTTAGAAATACATTTCATTTTATGTAGATGATGGATATTTGCATAAAGCTTTCAATTGTGATGGGGAAATGTTCATTGTGGAAGAGCTACAGCTGTTTCTGTCTCCGGAGCCTGTACAATCTCTCCAGCTGTCTTCTGAAAAGGTAGAACGTCTGTCCCTACATATGGGAAGTGACTGCTGTAATAGCTTGCCTCAGGCCTTGCTCTTCTGTGTTGTTCTGGCTTTTACGGAGCCTGTAAGTGTCTCATAATTCTGCTTCTATCATGTGTTCGTTAATAACAGAAATACAAAGCATCTTTTTTTTTTTCTGTAGAAGAAGAATGTGTGTGTCATAATGTAACTAAAACAAGCCTTTCTGTTCATTTAGGGAAGGAACTCTGTCATTGCTGTGGAAAGCTGGCGGGTTTTCTCATTCACATCACCATCTATTCTTAAGAGATTTTTAGTTTACTGATATTTTTAATAAATACCAGAAAGTCTTACAATCCATAATAGAAAATAACAGCTTAAAATCTCTCTGGCTGTTGTGAAAGAACTCCCTCCTGTATTGCCAGGGAATGCTCTATGTTGGGTCCCTGTCTCAAGTGGTGCAGCTCCCAGTTTCTGTGTGCCACCGATACAAGTACTGCTCGGATTGCATCTTGGCAAGGGATCCTTACTGCGCGTGGTCTCAGGCTGCCAACAAATGTGTCCTACTGGCGAATCAAACTGGTCACATGAAGTAAGTAAAAAGCTATTGCTTCAGCTGCACACCTGAGGTGAGATTGCTTTATCAGTGCACTTAATGTCTGTAACACAAAACTAGGAGGATTCCTAGAAATGGAATGGTACGAGCTGGGACACTTCTTGTCTGTGTTTTCATCTGTTTGGTTTTGTGGGGTTTTTGTCTTCTTTCTTTTTTTTCAGGAATTTAAGTCAAAGTGTGAAATACGGGGATGCTTCCAGCTGCCTTAGTGTAGGTATGTGAAAGTTTGTTTTAAGAAAGAATATTTTAACTTCATGTGGCCAAAATTCTTGTTCAGTTTGTGCTCACTGGAATTCCTGCATTATAGAAAAACACAGAATTAAAATAATGCGATTATTTTTGAACTGAGACCAAAAAAACCCACACTGAGCTGGTACTGGCTAATGCTCCTAACCCTCTCAATCTAAATGCCAGAATACATCAGTTCAGACTAAAACTCTTACTCTCAGAGGTGGCATAAATGTGACCCATTTGAAGTTACTGGTGTCCCTCCCACACCCAGTTAGCAGAAATCACATGACACATCAGATGTGCCATTAAATCTGTCACTGCTTTAAGAAGCTGTTCTGCAGATACAGAGCATACTATTCAAGAGTACACTTAAAAAGAAGACTATTTGTTATCAGCCATTTCAAATTAGTTTGAGAAATTATTTACTTTTAATGTCAAATTACAGGTGTGTGTGATCTAGTATTATTATGCAGTGACTTTGTAATGAGTTGCAAGATACCCTGCTTGCTTCATGACACGAGGTGTATCTCTTACCTCCACTTATGTCTCTTTAAAGTCAGAGTTGTCTTTAGTCTTGTTTATTTTAGACTGCACAACAAATGATAAGGCGGCAATCAGCAGGACAGTTGGGGAACTTTTACAGAGCTGATACAAGCATTGTGCAGATATCAAAGCATTTCTGTGAAGAGATGTCATTAACTGATATAGAAGTTGAGGCATAAAAAGGTGAATTTGTTTACACATGACTGTGTGTACAGGTGAGGCAAAATCAGATTAAAATCTGGAGGTCTTAAACTTCTAGTCCCATTTGTGTTCTGTTACACATCAGTAGGAATAAGGCCAGCAAGATGTCACTGATAGACCTGTTAGTAATGGCATTTCTTTGTCTTTATCCCTTAGCTGTTTATTACCCATTGTCAAGACTGGTGAATTAAATTTTATATGTATTTGGTTCTGTAAATTAAACTAAATCCCCGGTGTTCTTACTAAAAAAAAAAATTATCTTCATAATTTCAGAAAATAGTGTGAGAAAATGTCTCTTTACTCTTGGAAACAATGTTCATCTTAAATGTGTCCCTCTGTCAAATCTGGCAAGCATAGTGTGGAAGTTTAATGGGAGGAGACTTCAGGCCGAGGATGCTAAATACCAACTCTATGATGGAGGAATAGCAATATTTAACGTGACAATGGATACAGCTGGATTCTATGATTGTTTCTCGGTAGAGAAATCCAAAGGGAAGGAATTCCTTACCACTGTGGCCCGCTATGCCCTTTATGCCCAAGAAAAGACAGAGGAAGCAAATGTTATCACCTCAGAAAATAAGCATAACAAAGCAGGAGCTGAGGGGTTTCAGTCTTCAGTACCACCTTCTTTATTGAATGAGGCAGCAAACCAGAAATTTCTGGACAGCCAAAGTGAGAAGCTTGTTTTAAAACTCTTGGTGGCTGGGTTTGCTCTTCTTTTCTTTTCCTTGTTGTTTTGGAACTTCTACAAGGGTCATTTATCGCTGCCTTGGAAGAGCAGAGAAACCAGCTCAAAAACAGCTGGTACAGCTGGCTTGGGAAGTTCAGCACTGGCTACAGAGGGGTCAGGCACTGCAAGGAAGAGTTCATCCACCCAAACAAATGTATCTGTTGTTAATGAACGATGCTTGTGAGCTTTTCTTGAGGAGTGAAGCACCTGTGCTCAGCACAGGGCAAGTTTCACGAAGAGCTCTGGGAGCTTGCAGCTCACAGAGCTGTTTGGTTAAGATGACATAATGTTTCCTGTTAAGGAATGTGGAATGTAAATTTGGGTAGGAGTCAGAAACTCTGAATTGAAGATGACAAGCTGCATTGTGTATTAAATAGATATGTTACCAGTTTCTACTTTTAAAAGCAAAATTCCTTGTTTGGGTACCTTTTTTGACATGATAGAACCATGAGAATAAATTTCTTTTAAAAACTGACACTGATCCACTTTTTTGTCATGTTGGGATTGCCCAATTACAGAAATTAATACTTCAGAAGCTAATAATACTTAGCATTTAATGCTTTCACCTTCAGACTTTCTGTTTAATCTACAAATAGCAACTAATTAAGTCTCCCAGTGCCCCAAGAGGTTGCTACTATCCTCATTTTACATGTGAGGTTAAATTACTTGTCAATGACCATAGTGAGTATTGGTGTCAGATCTGGTGCTTTGTTAGAAGTTCCTGAGTCATCTTCCTGTATTTTATCTTTCTATATTTTCCTCTCCTTTCCCATTCTTTAGTCTTTCAAAACACTTTCCACACATTTATTTTTCTAATGTGTTTTTAGTGACCTTTATTATACATCTTCCTCTGTCCAAAAATGTCAGGAATCAACTTAGGTACTGCTTCGTTGTTCTGAATTTATTTCTGAGGTGTGGTCAAAATTCAGACATTGCAGCTCCTTTTGTTAAAGGCCACTGAAAGCTGAGCATATTTTCTGAGACACTTTTTTCTTCATTTTCAGATAAATGTTCCCTTGTTTTTTCTTGTTTGGGAAGTAACATGAGTTCTTGATCACGAAAATCCCTGAACAAAAGGCTATGCTGCCTCACTCTGTTTCTTGCTAGACATGCATAAAGTACAAGGTTGATGCTCTTCTAGACACGGACAGCTTATTTTTTCCCAGTTTTTATATAGCTATGGAAGGAGAAACCTGCTTGGAAATGGATTCTCCTATGTGGAAGTCTGTACCAGCTGTCGCAAGACACCTGCTTTCAGTTTAAACAGGAGTGCTTGGAAATGAAGACTCTACAATAGAGATGCCTGGATAGGAAGAAAGACTGGATAAGTGGCTTATTCAGTGTCCTTTCTCCCTTAAAACATAAATAGGTTAACCTCCTTTATATTGGAGCAAAGTCACAGCCTCTTTTTTTTTTTTTTTGGATGCTTTATTTCTCCATGCATCAAATTATTCTTCTGTTGTGCTTCATAACAACAGGTTCTTGTGTATTATGTGCAAATACTGCAGAAGGAAGGTGAGGCCAGTTGCTGAATTTGCAGGAAGCAAATTCACAGATTGCTCTGTCTCTGATCTGCTGCTGCTTACCAACACAGCAATGTTTGTAGTTTCCCTGGAAGGATGTAAAGGTGGGAACAATGTCAGCCTTTCTAGCAAGGGGAAGCCATAGGCACAAAGTGTGGACAAGAGAACTGTATAAAATGGATGTCTGAAACTTAGAAGACTGGATAGCTGCTAGAAAACCGTTACACCAGGACCTGCCTGGCTGCATTTCAGTGATTGTATCAGTGCAATGCAGAAACAAGACCTGAGGTACGTATCTTGTCTCACAGTTTGAAAGGGAGTCTGCTTCCTTGCAGGGTTTCTTTACCTATATTCCTACTCCCTATATGCAAAGGGTTATGTGGAAATTAATGATGCAGGCTGGATAGTGGTATGTAACTAATAACATAGGAAGTGATCGAAATTTCCATTCTTATCTTTGGGGACTCTTACTCTCTTCCCATAGTGGAAGGAAGTGCAGATGGAATATAAAACCCCATTTCAGAAAATCCTCACAAGGCTACCAGCATTTGATTTTAGTTCAATTCCTGCTGATCTAATTACCCTAATTTAAATGTGTAAAATAATTAGCTTCTAAGAGAAGTCGTAGATAAGTTAACAGGTCGATATGAAAGATACTGTGCCCTACTTTCAGCAGTGTCTTTGGTGCAGTTTTAATCCTTTTGTCATTGGTTGCCACGCTGCACGTAGGAAGGACGGTGGATATGGGGCAAGAGGAGTGCAGGTGCTCGGCGTGGCGACGGAGCCAAGGCAGCCCTTGAGCCGCTTGTTGGGCTGCCAGCTCAGGGCAGCCATCCAGCACTGCTCCGACTTGCACCCTGCAAGGACTCTTCTGAGTGTACACCAATACACTGGGAAAACACAAGCCTTTCCCGTTGCTTCTAACCTCGGTTCAGCTCTCTTGGTGCCAAAAATCTTTTGTGCTGACAGCTGCTGCCGTTGTTTCAAAGAGAGCATTTACCTTAGTGTGCTTGGAGTACGTCTTGATGCCACACTTAAAATTACAGGCAGCAAACCATAACCCTAAACACAGGGGCAATAGTAGTGGGGACACTGGAGACAAGGAATTACACCAGTCTCACTAAACCTCCCTTCTAAATACATTACAAAATAGGGTGGAGGTAAAACGCTGAAAGCAGAGTATGGGAAGTAGCATTAGTGTTTATGGTGCTAGTATTGAACTCTGAGAAGAATATTGCTAATTTATGAATGCTACTTCCACCTTTTATTGTAAAATTACTAGTACAGAGCTTACTATTTTGGTGCAAGTTCTGAAGTTATTAACCCGTGGAGAAATCAATGTGCAGCACCGTCTGGGATTAACAAAGTCTCTCTTGGGAAGATTTCCTATTAAAGTGTCCTGATAAGTAAGGAGCGTAAAGGGGACTGGGATTATCCAGCAGCGACATAACTCGGCACCACTGAGCCTGCCCATGGGAAGCTTCGTGTCAGAGTAGTGGCATATTTTAAGGCAAAACTGAGGCACTTGCAGGAATTGAGTGAGGAGTGTTGGTGTTCAGCCAGGATTTGAGTGTCCTGGTAGGGCTCTCTGGGAGGAAATGCGGAAATAGTTTCCCAAACTTCAGGTTCTTTACGAGGCATGTTTGTATGAGACACTGGCACTGTTATTGTATCTGCTCTGCAAATTGGGTAAAACTTGTCTACAGCTTCTAGTTCCTGACTTAAGGCCCAGAATAACTGCACCCTGCCCAGTACCACTGATACTGGTCGATTCTGATTTTTGTCACCAACACATTAGAATAGGTAGTGTTCACGCGTGGGCTCCATCCTTGTGACGTGTGGAAACACCGGGGTGGATGCACACTGGGCACTGCCTACAGAACAGAACGTGAGCAGCACCCGGAGCAGCTGCCCTTTGCAAACCTGTTGGATCTAATGCTGAAAAGGAGCAGATGAGAAAAGATCCGTTCCCGGTCTCACCTTCTGTCGCCTTCGTGAGGCCAGGCTACTGGGGCTTCTCCACCCTCACGATTAAAAATGTGTCTTATTCCTAGACTGACCTGTTCAGCGTCTGCTTACAGCCCTTGGAGCTTGTCACACCTGTGCTGGCTAAACAGAAAAGCACTCATGTATAAAATTTCTTTCCCCCGGGAAGTTTTTTATGGTTATGATGAAGTCACACCATATCCTTTCTTTGATGAACAGATGAAGTGGTTTTATTCTTTCCACACAGAGCGTGTTTTGTTTTGTTCCCTCTCACAGCTCTCCCGTGGGCCCTCTCCGGTTGTTCAGCATCCTGGAGGTTGGGCCGAGGGTTCCCCAGGGGAGCAGGGGTCCCTCTCCATGCCTGGTTGTCACGCCCGAGGATGCTGTTAGCTCCTCTGGCCACAGCGGCACGCTGGGAGCGGCTGATTGCTGATTACCCCACTCCGCTTCCCCAAGCCTTTCCAGCCTCCCTTCTTCCCAGGGCAGTTTCCCATTTCATAAAAATGTATGCATGGCTTACATTAATTTTCCACTTGCAGAAATGACTTCATAAAAGACAGAACAACAAAGACCTCCCTATTTCTGAAAGCAGATGTCTAGACTAGGATGAAAGAAGGTGGGTTTGGTTTGTTTTCTGGGGTAGCCAGCTCCTGGTAGGAGCCCGGCGCTCAGTAGAAGCTGAGCATCCAGCAGAAGCCTGGCGCCCAGTCCAAGCCTGGTCCAAGCCCGGCGCCCGGCATCCAGTAGAAGCCTGGCACCCAGTACAAGCCAAGTGGCCAGTAGAAGCCAAGTGCCCAGTAGAACCCTGTCACCCAGTACAAGCCAAGCGGCCAGTAGAAGCCAAGTGCCCAGTAGAAGCCAAGCGCCCAGTAGAAGCCGAGCGGCCAGTAGAAGCCCGGCACCCAGTAGAAGCCCGGCGCCCAGTAGAAGCCAAGTGGCCAGTAAAAGCCAAGCGCCCAGTAGAAGCCAAGTGGCCAGTAGAAGCCAAGTGGCCAGTAGAAGCCCGGCGCCCAGTAGAAGCCAAGCGGCCAGTAGAAGCCCGGCGCCCAGTAGAAGCCAAGCGGCCAGTAGAAGCCAAGCGGCCAGTAGAAGCCCGGCGCCCAGTAGAAGCCCGGCACCCAGTAGAAGCCAAGCGGCCAGTAGACGCCAAGCGGCCAGTAGAAGCCCGGCGCCCAGTAGAAGCCCGGCGCCCAGTAGAAGCCAAGCGCCCGGCGCCCGGTGCAAGCCCGGCGCAGCGCCCTGGGCCGGCGGGCGCCGCGGGGGGCGGCGGGCGCATCGCGGGCTCTTCCCGCCAGGGGGCGCTGTGGAGCCGGCCCCGGCCGCGGCCCCGGGGATAAAGTCGAGAGAAGCGGCGGGGAAATGTGAGCGAGATGGGGCAGTTGGGGAGAGGAAGCGGATAGGGAAGAGGAGGGGAAGGGAAAAAAAAAAAAAAAAAGAGAACAAAGAAATCGCGATTCAGAAGGTGGCTGGACTTCTTGAGCTGCGGGGGAAAACTTGAGGGGTTGCCCGAGCAGCAGACGGCTTTGTCTACCAAGGCTTGCAAAAGCACCACCTAATCCTGGTGCTCCCCTCCCATGCTGAAGGGAAGGAGGGATCCTGGGAGCCGGAGAGGGAGAGCCGCTGGGGTCTGCGGGGGCCGGGGGAGGCCGCCGAACTTCCCCGCCGAGCGCTCCGGGCTGGGTGTGGGCGCCCGCAGCCCCGGGGGGGGGGGGGGTCCGGGTGGCCCCTGCCCCGCACGGTCGGGGATTGCGGGGCGTTCGGAGCCACCAGGACAACTAACAAGATTTCAAAGTGAAATTCCGGAGGAAATTTAAAGAGCATCCGGATCCGGAGAAAGAAAGAAAGAGGAAGGGAGAAATAAATCAAACCGTGGAGAGAATCTCAGGCAGCTGAAGAAAGGACGGGAGAGAAAGAAGCTGACACCCGGCAGAGATGG